TAAGATCAAAATACCTTAACTATTTATAAACTAAGCAGATAAATATTTTGGACAAGCTCTGTGTTATTTATTACAAGCAAATAAGCAGAAAAACATCATCATAATGTAAGTGATGGGATATCAATCTCACCGAATGTTGCTTTTTCGACCGAGAAACTTGCACCAATCCGTGTAGTTCTTGAAGAATTTCTTCATAAGCTCATCCACAGCTCCATCTTCTAACTAAAAATAACCGAAACGAAAGGCATTTGTCAAAGATGGGACCAAAACGAAAAATGAAACAATCTTTACTAAATATACCTTCAGTGTTTGTTTGTGAGCTTTTCGAACATGTGTATTAGCCAGCAGAAGGATTAAATGCTCCCTCTGGTTAGCCACATTTCCTTTCTGATGAAAAAGTAGACAAAATAAATAAATAAATAAACAATACAATGAAAAGGAAGGGGGAAAAAACCCGAAAAATGGCACCTGAAATTCGAAGCAAAACTGAAGCCAATCGAACAAATCGATATACACCTGGCGGCTTTTGAAATCGTCCAAGAAAGGCAATCCTCGAACGTTACGAACAGCAGCTATTGCACATTTTATCTGAAAAAAATAAAAATACAAAAAAAAAATCTTACATATTTATCAAAAGTTAATTTCATTTACCAACTATGGGACAATATGCCTACTAATTTTAGAGAGCATTAAATTAAACCTCGGGAAGCTGCATTATCGCCTGATGAGCGCCTCCTTGATCGAGAGGAAGAATGTTATACGGCACATAGAATTCGGACCTCGAGTGATCAGCATCAGCAAGTGCCTATTCAGAACGTAAGTTATCGACTTCATTTTTTTCTAATTTTTCTATTTCTTTATTCTTTTTAAGACAAAAAAGAAGAACATGGCACCCAAGAAGAACCTGAGAACCTGCTGCAGAGGTAACTGTACTAAGTACTTCGAACAAAACGGATGCAATTGCGCGTGCTTTCATAAGCTTCTCTCTGTAACAAAGAATCGAATGCATGCAAATTAATGAGTTAAAAAAAATATTACTAAGATAATAACTTTATATAGCCCATAAATGTTTTTTTTTTTACTAATTAACCTTGTTTCTTGTGTATATTCTCCCCCATGTTTGATGATATAGTCTTTGTACACTCGATACACACGGCGAAGCTCGCGTAAATCGCTTTTTTCCTGCCTTTTACTAATTGTAACTTCTTCATCCTAAGGTAACAAAAGTTAGGTGAATTTTGTTTTAAGTATTTTCTTTTTTTTTTTGTTTGGGTAATTTCTTTAAGAAAAAATTAGTAAGTTACCTGTTCAAGTCTTTGAAGAAGAGAAGTCTTGAACTGGCGAACCCCTCGGCCGCTCGAGTTTTTGTCCAAATTGTGTGCAACTTCGAAAGCGTGAAAACGGCCTACACAGGTGAATTACAATATTACATGCATATGCATACACCGCTTCGATTAAGGAATTCGAAAGTTGAACGAACCGAATTTTTTGCACTAGTTTCTACAAATGTATGTATGGCTTTAGAAAACAGAGTTGATTGTGCCCAACATGATGTTTTTATGCCACATGAATTTTGGTTGATTTTAACACTATGTAACCTGCAGTGAGCTGATATGATTCTTACATCAAGACACAATTTTTCTACAAGAAAACATCAAAATGTTCGAAACTTTATCAATCACTCACAAAGATAAGCAACCCGGGGCTCGTCAATCTCAATCTGATTGGCCACACGAAGAAACCTCTGTATTTCGGACACCAAAGTGACCGGCAATTTTTCGCTGTCGAATGGCTCGGGCGCATTTTCTCTGCCCGACGTAAGTGATCTCGTGTAGTGTCTCGTGTTACTCGTCGTGTAAGCTCTCGCGTTGCTCGTGCTTGCTCTGTTTTGCTCGTCGCTCGGTAGCTCTGCAAGGATTATTTCAGACATTTTTTGTGGTGGGAAAAAAATGTTTTTGAAAAAAAAAAATTAAAAAATGAAATGATTTTTGGGAGGGAAAAAAGAAGGGTGAAAATGCATGGAGCAAAGTGTGTATATATAACAGAATCTTGGGTGCATATGCATGCTTTATTTTTAGTTTATAATTTTTTTTTTTTCTGCTTTTTATTTATTTATTTATTTATTTTTTCTTTTGGGCTTTATTGGGTGCTTTTTTTGGTCATGAGGGGTCTGATTAATCTTTTCATCTGCTTTAGCTTTTTGAAGAAAATATGGAAATAGCTGTGTTGTGTAGTGTGTGTGTGTGTGTGTGTGTGTGTGTGGTGAAGGTGCTGATGAGAGTTTGATTGAAAAATGGACAGATTATATAATTAGGTAATTTGTTGGAGATCAGACTTCTTGTTTAACTTTTCATGTTCCATCTCGTGTGTTTCGTTCGACTGACGTGTCGTTTATCAAATGGAATGATACCAAAATGAACGGAAATGCTAACCATTCTGTCGAGTCGGTAACCGTCGGAGATAGTTGATCTAACGGTTACAAATTACAACAGAATGGTTCCGTAACGGGACCGTAGCGTCTCCCCAAAATGAAATGGATGAGTGACACGTTTCGTTTATCGAATGAAATGATACAGGAAATGAAACAGGAAAGTGGAATAAAAAAAGTAGGTTTCTATTTGAATTTTATTTATTTATTTTTTCTCTCCCAACACAAGGTGTGGGTTGATAGAAAGGTGAAGCATGTGAAATGTTTTCTTAACTAGTTGAACTTTCCTAAATCTACAAAAAATCAAATAATGAGAATTAATAATTAATTGAAATAAAGGCATTTGGCAGAAATCCCAAAACTACCATATATATATATTTTTTTTTTTAATTTGTCTAGCAATTGTTAATTAATTTACAATCTTAGTATTTATTTGTAGTAAAAGTCCTTTTTTTTTTTCTTCATGGCATGCATGATAATGAATCCAGATCTTGGAGACAAGTAAAAAAAATAAAAAATAAAATAAACATATATATTAAAAAGGCTGCTTTTAATGCTTGCTGTAAAGAACACCCATTTTATTATTTGTGATAATGCATGTATAATTGTGGCCTAATCAGGGTGGTTTTGTAATATAAAGAGCAAATGGTAAAAGACATGATGGAAAAAGTGCACAAGCACCTTAAAAAATGAATGTATTCGATTGAGATTTCAAGTGACATTTTGAAAATTTTTAAGATTTAAAACTTTTTTTAAGATTTTTAAATCTGGAATAATTCGGTAGAATCTTAAGTTTGAAGGTCGGATTTGAAGTGGAATTTCGTATAAGGTTTTTGTTTAGAAATCCCACCAGATCTTAAAGAGTCTTATCAAATTATAGTCTCAAATAAGTTAAATATCTCAAGATTTTGTGAAACTTTTTGAAAATCTCAAATGAATAACCCATGATTTTTATAAGTCTTAACAAATCTCGATTGAATACGTAATGTTCACTGACAAAGCTTCTACTGAAAAGCTTTTCTAGTCCCTTCATTTACTCACATAAGTTTATGAACATTTACTAATAAAATAAAAACACTTTCTAAAACAAGATATAAAAATAATATATACATGTATATAATATGTTAATCAATGGCATTAGAATGTATAAAAGGGCTTGTGTGGGGTCATCTACTTTATTTGCTAAAGTTTATGCATATAGTAACACTCAATTATTGGTTTCTCTTTATAACTTGGAGGATTATTGTCAAAGAAGTGGCATTTATATAGAAAAGTGGCACAATCTTTTGAGCAATTTCCTTTCTTTCTTACCCTCTAAGAATAAGAAAGATGGTGAGGAGGGCAAGTTATTATGGATTAGTGTGCTA